GTTTAGCCATTATTGAACGTGTTATCAAAAGCATTTCTAGTAAAGGCCAAATTCAATATTTTATCAAATAATAATTAACTAATTAATTATACCCCAAGACAAAAGATTGAAGTGCCTTTGAACTGGGTATGGTAGTAGGTGCCAGGCGCACTGGTTTGAGTGTGACAAGAACGGCAACACTGCTGGGTTTTTCACACTCAACAGTTTCCCCGTGTGTATCAAGAGTGGTCCACTACCCAAAGGACATCCAGCCAACTTGACACGACTGTGGGAAGCATTGGAGTCAACATGGGGGCCAGCATCCCTGTGGAACGCTTTTGACACCTTGTAGAGTCCAGGCCCCAACGAATTGAGGCTGTTCAGTAGCTTGCCAGGTGAAGTTGACGTTCTGGATATTCACTGGTATCGCAGGCATCCTCTGCTGGGCCTTTCTGAAGTCAGTTGTGAATGGAGCCATTTTCCCCTCGGACACGATCAAGATATCCTCCTCAAACCCAATTAGGATTCTGGCTTGGTTGGCATCAATCCACATGTACAAACTTCCCTGCTGGTCCTGCGCAGTTTTTAGACGTGGTGGTTCTTATAGCAGGTCATTGAGCTGGCTGCCCCCTGCCTGTAGACAGCTGACTGACTTTGGCAGACTTTCTTCTTCTTTTTTTTCTTTCTGTCTGCTTCTGCTATTTGTACGTCACTTCCGTCACAGCTTTTGAGTTTTCGAGCAAAGATGGCGACGGCGCAGCTAACCGACGAGGAGCTTTTCTCCGAGTTAAAGCGCTTTGGGTTCAGCCCAGGCCCGGTTTCCGAGAACACGCGACCGGTCTATTTGAAAAAACTAAAGAAACTGCGCGATGAGCAGCAACAGAAAGGAACCAGGGCGGGGAAAAACCGAAACAGTGGCGGCGTCAACAACGGCACTAGTGGCGATGGCAACAGCGCCATAATGGGCAACGATTATTGCCGGGGGAAAGGTGATACCCGTATTGGAAGTATTAGATAAGTGACCAGTCTCTCTCCAAGGAGCTAGCACAGAGTTATCCACGTGTTCCCCGCTTGTGCTGTCACACGTGCTCAAGCATGACAAATGGGTGACGTGATCGATTTGTCGAACACTATTCTGTTCAGAGTGTTGCCCAGAGGATAGCTTGTGTGCTACCTCTGGTAAGCTGGTGCGGTCTGACCAACAGCCCAGGGAAGGGAAGAAGTATGTGGAACTTGTTGCTGAGGCAATACAGTTACCAGTCACTCGTGAGCAGCTGATCGCTAACCAGAAGGTTGACATTAGCCTGGCTAAATGTTTTTCTAGTGTTGTCTCAGTGGAGGAGCTAAAGAAGACAAATGGCATACTTCATTGATGGTAATCTCCTCATGTGTAAATGGCCATCCCATGTTGTACCTGGTGGAGATTGGGATGCTGTTTATCAAATAGTGATTCCTACAGCCTTTCGACAAAATGTTTTATCCCTCGCTCATGATCACCAGTGGTCCGGACATCTGGGAGTCACCAAGACTTATGATCGGGTTCTGCAACATTTCTTTTGTCCCAGTTTAAAACAAGATGTGGCTCAGTTCTGTCGGACATGCCACACCTGTCAGGTAACTGGGAAACCGAACCAGGTTATTCCTCCCACTCCTCTTTTTCCCATACCTGTCATAGGTGAATCATTCCAACATGTGGTGGTTGATTGTGTTGGACCATTACCGAAGACAAAATCAGGTAACCAGTTTCTGTTGACAGTTATGTGTGGGGCCATCAGATACCCAGAGGCCATTCTTCTGCGTAGGATTACTGCTCCGGTGGTGAGTAATGCCTTGATTAAATTCTCAACTTTTGGGTTACCTAAGGTGTTACAAACTGATCAGGGTATGCATTTCCTTTCTAAGCTTTTCAAACAGGTGTTAAAATCCTTGTCAATTACGCACTGTGTGTCAAGCGCGTATCACCCAGAGTCTCAGGGTGCGCTTTAATGTTGGCGTCAGACACTGAAGTCTATGCTCCGTAAATATTGTTTGGAATCTGAGAAGGATTGGGATGAGGGAGTTCCTCTAGTTTTGTTTGCTGTCCGTGAGACAGTACAGGAATCCCTAGGGTTCAGCCCAGCTGAACTGGGTTTTGGACACACAGTGAGAGGACCTATGGAAGTCCTTAAGGATCTGTTTTTATCGCAAGAGTTGTGTGCGAAAGACAAATGTGTTGGACTACGTTAGTCGCTTTCGTGAGCGCCTACAGGGTGCCTGTGCTCTAGCAAAGGAAGCGCTGTCTTCCTCACAGAGACGTATGAAACGGCACTATGACAACCAGGCTGTTTCTCGTTCGCTGCAGCCGGGTGACCAAGTTCTTGTATTGTTGCCTGTACCAGGAGCGTCACTGTCAGCACGTTTCTCTGGTCCTTATGTAATCGAAAAGAAACTAAGTGAAACTGATTACGTGATACAGACTCTTGATAGAAAACGCCAATCTTGTGTGTGCCACATTAACATGTTGAAGTCATACCACACCAGACCCATCACCCAGATAGACAGTCCAGAGAAACTGGCTGAAACTGCTGTCTCCATTGCTGCTGCGGCTGTAGTGGGAGGTCATGTTAATGATGTTGACGGAGATGGTTTGGAGTTGCGCAATAGTCAGCCGCAGTGCGCTAAATAGCCCAATTCAGAGATGCTGCTGTCTCTCCCGTCAAGTCTGGTTCATTTAACAGACGGACAGACAGATGTTGTGAGGCTATAACAGCTTTCCATGTCTTTTTAATGATGTTCCTACACGCACAAATGTGTTGGAACATGACATTAATGTTGGAAACACTGCCCCTATCAAGCAACATGCTTATCGTGTCAACGTCTCTAAAAGACAGATAATGAGGGATGAGGTCGGTTATTTGCTGGAGAATTACTTGGCTATGCCAAATTCAAGTCCTTGGAGTTCTCTGTGCATTCTGGTTCCCAAACCTGATGGCACATCCAGGTTATGTACGGATTATCAAAAGGTAAATTCTGTCACAGCGCCCGACTCGTTCCCGTTACCCAGACTGGACGACTGTATTGACACTTTTGGTGCTGCTAGATCTTCTAAAAGGTTACTGGCAGGTGCCGTTAACCTCACGTGCATCAGAAATATCTGCCTTTGTGACCCCAGACAACTTTCTACAATATGCTGTCATGGCGTTTGGGATGCGGAATGCACCAGCCACTTTCCAACGCCTGGTTAACACAGTATTGGCTGGAGTTCCTAATTGTAGTGCCTACCTTGAAATTCTGGAATTTTATTCAACTGAGTGGTCAGATCATATTAACACTAACGGTAGTGTGTGAACATCTAGCAGCCGGTTCTCTAACCCTGAACTTAGCAAAGTGCGAGTTTGGGAAGGCCACTGTTACTTATCTCGGCAAACAGGTTGGCCATGGTCAGGTGCGCCCTGTTGATGCCAAGGTCTCGGCTATAACTGCATTTCCCGCACCTACCACCAGAAGAGAGGTACGGCGCATTTTAGGAATGGTTGGCTACTACCGTAGTTTCTGTAAATATTTCTCTGCGCTAGTTGCTCCAATTACGGATTTGCTCAGTGCTGCGAGAATATTTGTGTGGTCTGCGGATTGTCACACTGCTAAAGCACTTTATGTAGTACCCCTGTTCTTGCTGCTCCAGATTTTGAACGGCCGTTTAAACTTGAGGTAGATGCTAGTGCCAGAGGTGCTGGTGCTGTTCTACTGCAGCCGGACCAGAGTAGAGTGGACCATCCTGTCTGTTATTTTTCTCTGAAATTTAACAAATGTCAGAATAACTATTGAACAAGAAGCTCTAGCTTTGTTGTTAGAAGTACTGCAGAACTATGTTGATTCCAGTGCACTACCAGTGATAATGTATACTGACCATAACCCCTTAGTTTTTCTCCACCGTATGTAAATTATAATTTGGAGATCTGCCACAAAAAGGGTTCGGATAATGTGATGGCGAATGCTTTGTCTCGTGTTTAGAGATGTATGATTTATTCTCTATCCCATGAGGATGCCATTGTTTGCTATGGTCTAGTCACTCGTTTGCTGTTTAGTCCCTATTTTACGTTTGTTTGCCTGGGAAAAGGGGATTTTTAGCAAGTCGCCCTTGGGCATACACTACCTGTAGGAAAACTGTCTAAAAACACTAGTTAGACCTGAGCGGACCACCCACTGTATTTTTGTATAGTTAGTAGCAAGCTAAGCGGTTCTTGAGGCAGGCAGGATCAGTTTAGGGGTTTTTGAATGTATTATTTAATTCCTTGGGTCCAGCTCAGCCCCTTTCCCCAAACCGTTTACCTTGTGTTTGACGGTAGGATTGGTTGTCAGTGTATTTTGTTCTCTCTGTTCCTTTTCACTATTCTAATTCGCATGAATTATGTTACGGGTCTCTTTGCCATCCACCCTAGACTTGTAAAGCCACAGGGTTCATAACAGGACTGAGCAAATCCGCGAATAATGTTGAGTGCGAAAGTTAGACGCACTAACTTTCTCACTCGTCATTATTCACGATTCATTCAGGACTATCCAAAATCATGGTCGCATCCACATTAATGTAGTGTTCAGAAACATTCTATTCTTATTTACAATAAAAGTGACTCCAAAATGACAATGCATTATTTACCATTCATCACCTGAAAATACCCTCAAATTAAAGCTGACAGTCTGCACTTTAACTTCATAGTCATTGTATAATTTCAAATCCAAAGTGCTGGAGTACAGAGCCAAAACAACAAAAAGTAACTGTCCCAATACTGAGCTCACTGTTTATGGAAGGAGATGAGGATAAACTGTAACGCCCTCTGCTGGCAGAGCTCAATTCAATGTTGACAAAAAATGTGATGTCAGGTGGGACCCTAATTGCTGTTACACAGGGTTCCAAGGTCAGAGAATAGAACCCTGGTTGATGTTGCACAGGGATCTGTGTAAGAGGGACTATTTGATGTTGGATGCTTTCAGATCAGTGAAGTCCCAGTTCAATAATGGACATAGTTGTGTCAGTGGGGGGGACCCTATTTGATGTTGAGCCGGATCCTGCGGCAATGGGTGGTCTTGAGCTCAGCCAAGGCTTTCTCCAGATCCTGGATGAGGTGCATCAGGGTGGCAGGGTCAGTCTGTAGCACCTTAGCACTCTTCTCACCTCCACTCTCCTCCAGGTGCAGCTTCATACTCAGTGTAGGCTTCACCTGGTGCCTTAGGGCACGACTGGCCAGCTAGTTGAGAGAGAGATAGGGGAGGGAGAGAGACTTTACAAACTGAATTGACGTACCGTCAAAGAGACACAGACATAGAAAGACTCCACTCACACCAAAAAAAGCAGACAGGCAGGCAGAGAGACAACAGTCCCTGTACATCCAGCCTCCACTCCAGGTCGTGGCAGTGAGTGGGTCAGTACACTGAGGATGTGTCGGATCTCCTTCATGTGGTCCAAGTAGAGCTGCAGCTGGTTCAGCTCCTCGGTGAAGCCCAACACCGAGTCCTGAAAGTCAACCTCAGAGATCTACAACACAGACACACACGGTTCAGGACAGGCTTCATGTTAATGTTAATTCCAAACTCAAAAGGAACGGTTTCCCGGACTCATCTGAGAGCTGCCGCAAAATGAGTGTGGTAGGTAGAGGGAGTAAAGATGGTGAGTGTGCTAGCTGTAGAAAGGGGATAGGCTCTCTGTAGCTACTCACCATGAGTTTGGAGCTCTAGGTGAGCAGGTACGAGTCCCTCCACACCATCCTGTACGGTTTCTGCGTCAACACTCCGCTTCCCTGGAGGACACAGTGAGAGGGGAAACTAGTTGGCTACAACAGTCTACCATGTAAAACTTATTGGACAATGAAACGGAATGACAGCTTTGCATGTATAAGATGTTTTGTGGGAAGGTTTATAAAAGCTTGGAAACTGATACGTACTGGCAGCCCCCTCATAGATCTTAGCGTTTGTTCCCTTTCGCAGGAACTCTACCGCTATTCGCCCAAATTCACCAACCACCGATGAGGAAAAAACAACTATGCTAGCTAGCTCTCAAAATTGTGGCAATACAATGGTCCTGTGACTCCTGTCCAGAGATTACCCCTAGCACCTACCCCACCTGGGGTTAGATATGCGCACTCCCTTGTCTAGATGGAATTTTCACAATTTGCTATACCATCTGTCAATTCAGATCCCCTCATGGGGCTATGGCCGAGTTACATTGTTGTTGGACAGAAACAGTACAGTTTACAGCCAGGAGTAGCTAGGTAACTAGCTTGACAAAGACAGGCAACAGACAGCCAGGACAATCTATCAAGCTATGTTTTTATCAAGACTCATAATGTTCCACTGTATTCGATGGTTTATTTAGCTAGTCACTTGACGACAGCTGGTGTCGTAGTAAATATAAAATGTTATAGCTCCCATGCATGGACCCAATCAATTGCCTCTTATGGAGACAGTTGAGAAGGATCCATGCATTGGGCCCATGCATGTAGCTTGAGCAGTACCAGCTGTGTTTAATAAACTGCCTTTTGCTTAAGCAAATTCCTCTCTGTCTAGCGTCGTTGGTTTTGTACTTCCTCTCCATTTATGGTTTCACCAACACTGGTAACAAGCTAGCTAGCTGTAATGCGAACAGTCAAAATATTATTTACCCGCAGAGGACGCACTTTTCACTACACTTCGATACAGTGATTTTCGTAACAGGTAAGGAGACCATTTTCGCTGATCTCTTACTCTTTTCCTAACCTTAACCTCAGTCTCCTAACCTACTACGTTAATTATCCTAACCTGCTAATAACGTTAGTGCTACAAAAAAACGCTTACCCACTGAGTTCACCTCTGGCAGAAACACCAGGTGCTCCTTATGTTCGTCACATAACACCAACAGCGTCATTAAAAGTTATACAGTCTAACTCTTATTGTGCAAAGTCGACATATGTGCCTAGCTACTACACAATGGAAAGTTGACTGCTATCATTGAGCTAGTGTGGCTAATCAAAGTCACATGACCAGGATAGAATTCCATCGCCCATAAATTGAGAAAGAAACAAAAACCCAGTGGAAAAAGGTTCTGCGTCACCGCCTGGTGAAAATACAGGGCATTCTAATGTCATGGCTGTTGAAATGATCCCTATTCTCCCTGGTATTCATCACAATTGGCCACACTATCACCAGGCACGCGAGGGGCTTAATATTAGACAGTCTAATCTTAAAGAGTGATAACCTAGGCATTCCAACCTTGATGACTGGAAGCTGAGCAAAACACAACTTTCAAGTCTCCACTCCACTTAGTATGTTTTATTTTCTATACTGAACTAAAATATAAAACGCAAAATTCAACAATTTCAAAGATTTTACTGAGTTAGTTCATATAAGGAAATCAGTCAATTGTAATAAATTCATTGGACCATGATCTATGGATTTCACGACTGGGAATATATAAAAAATAAACATCCTTTTTTCAGGACCCTGTATTTCAAAGATAATAAGTAAAAATCCAAATAACATCACAGATCTTCATTGTAAAGGGTTTAAACAATGTTTCCCATGCTTGTTCAATGAACCATAAACAATTAATGAACATGCACCTGTGGAACGGTCGTTAAGACACTAACAGCTTACAGATGGTAGGCAATTAAGGTCAGTTATGAAAACTTAAGACACTAAAGAGGCCTTTGTACTGACTCTGAAAAACACCAAAAGAAAGATGCCCAGGGTCCCTGCTCATCTGTGTGAACGTGCCTTAGGCATGCTGCAAGGACGCATGACTGCAGATGTGGCCAGGGCAATATATTGCAATGTCTGTTCTGTGAGATGCATAAGACAGCGCTACAGGGAGACAGGACGGACAGCTGATCGTCCTTGCAGTGGCAGACTACGTGTAACACCTGCACAGGATCGGTACATCCGAACATCACACCTGCGGTACAGGTACAGGATGGCAACAACAACTGCCCGAGTAACACCAGGAATGAACAATCCCTCCATCAGCGCTCAAGACTGTCCGCAATAGGCTGAGAGAGGCTGGACTGAGGGCTTGTAGGCCTGTTGTAAGGCAGGTCCTCACCAGACATCACCGGCAACAACGTCGCCTAGGGGCACAAACCCACCGTCGCTGGACCAGACAGGACTGGCAAAAAGTGCTCTTCACTGACAAGTCGCAGTTTTGTCTCACCAGGGGTGATGGTCAAATTCGTGTTTATCGTTACACCAAGGCCTGTACTCTGGAGCGGGATCGAGGTGGAGGGTCCGTCATGGTCTGGGGCGGTGTGTCACAGCATCATCGGACTGAGCTTGTTGTCATTGCAGGCAATCTCAACACTGTGCGTTACAGGGAAGACATCCTCCTCCCTCATGTGGTACCCTTCCTGCAGGCTCATCCTGACATGACCCTCCAGCATGACAATGCCATACTGCTCGTTCTGTGAGTGATTTCCTGCAAGACAGGAATGTCACAGTGTTCTGCCATGGCCAGTGAAGAGGCCGGATCTCAAACCCATTGAGCACGCCTGGGACCTGTTAGATCAGAGGGAGGGCGAGGGCTAGGGCTAGGGCTAGGGCCATCCCCCCCCCCCCCCCCCAGAAATGTCCGGGAACTTGCAGGTGCCTTGGTGGAAGAATGGGGTAACATCTCACCGCAAGAACTGGCAAATCTGGTGCAGTCCATGAAGAGGAGATGCTCACTGCAGTACTTAATGCAGCCGGTGGCCACACCAGATACTGACTGTTACTTTTGATTTTGCAGCACTCCACCAATCAGGCCTTTATGGTAGAGTGGCCAAACGGAGGCACTCCTCAGTAAAAGGCACATGACAGCCTGCTTGGAGTTTGCCAAAAGGCACATAAAGGACTCTGACCATGAGAAACAAGATTCTCTGGTCTGATGAAACAAAGATTGAACTCTTTGACCTGAAACCTGGCACCATCCCTACGGGGAAGCATGGTGGTGGCAACATCATGCTGTGGGGATGTTTTTCAGCGGCAGGGACTGGGAGACTAGTCAGGATCGAGGAAAATATTAACGGAGCAAATTACAGCGAGATCCTTGATGAAAACCTGCTCCAGAGCACTCAGGACCTCAGACTGGGGCCAATGTTCACCTTCCAACAGGACAACAACCCTAAGCACACAGCCAAGACAATGCAGGAGTGGCTTCGGGACAAGTCTCAATGTCCTTGAGTGGCCCAGCCAGAGCCCGGAACCCGATCGAATATCTCTGGAAAGACCTGAAAATAGCTGTGTAGCGACGCTCCGCATCCAACCTGACAGAGTTTGAGAGGATCTGCAGAGAACAATGGGAGAAACTCCCCAAATACAGTTGTGCCAAGCTTGTAGCGTCATACCCAAGAAGACTCGAGGCTATAATCGCTGCCAAAGTTGCTTTAACAAAGTACTGAGTAAAGGGTCTGAATACTTATGTAAGTGAGATCTGTATTTCATTTTCAATACATTTGCATGGATCAGAAAACCAGTCAGTATCTGGTGTGACCACCATTTGCCTCATGCAGAGCGACATCTCCTTTGCATGGAGTTGATCAGGCTGTTGATTGTGGCCTGTGGAACATTGTCCCACTCCTCTTCAATGGCTGTGCGAAGTTGTTGGATATTGGCGGGAACTGGAACACACCGTCATACACGTCGATCCAGAGCATCCCAAACATTCTCAATGGGTGACATGTCTTGAGAGTATGCAGGCCATGGAAGAACTGGGGCATTGTCAGCTACCAGGAATTGTGTACAGATCCTAGTGACTTGGGGCTGTGCATTATCATGCTGAAACATGAGGTGATGGCGGTGGATGAATTGCACGACAATGGACCTCAGGATCTCATCACAGTATCTCTGTGCATTCAAGTTGCCATCGATACAATGCAATTGTGTTCACTGTCCGTAGCTTATAACAGCCTGCCCATACCATAACCCCACTGCCACCATGGGGCACACTGTTCACAATGTTGACAACAGCAAACCGCTCTCCCACACGACCCCATACACATGGTCTGCGGTTGTGAGGCCGGTTGGACATGCTGTCAAATTCTCTAAAACGACGTTGGAGGCGGCTTATGGTAAAGAAATTAACATTACATTCTCTGGCGACAACTCTGGTGGACATTCCTGCAGTCAGCATGCTAATTACACTCTCCCTCTGGCATTGTGTTGTGACAAATTCACTTTTGCGGCACATACAACTTATAGAAAAATTTGTCAATGGAATGACTTTTCCCCCCATTGTAGTCAGCAGCACTGAGGAAATATAATAAACATCTGAACAGATGGGTTATTGGATGGGTGTCCCTACGGCAGCGTTTCCCAAACTTGGTCCCGGGGAACCCAAGGGGTGCACGTTTAGTTTTTTTGCCCAACCACTAATCAGTTGTGTAGTGCTAGGGCAAAAACCAAAATGTGCACCCAGAGAGGGCCCCAGGACCAAGTTTGGGAAACCCTGCCCTAGGGTAAGGGATGCGTGGAAATGGGACCCAGGCTGCTCCTCCAAGGGTTCTTGTTCTCATCTCTATTCTCAGCCCAGAGGATATCCTCCTTCCCCATATCCCCTCTTCCTTCCACTTATCTTTTCCCTGAATTGATGTCACCACCACACAGGACGCAGCTGTTGGACAGCAGTAGTGCTGTAGCCTGGGGTGTATTCATTGTGCCAATTCTGGTGCAAAATATTTAGCAATAAACAGTTTGGTTCATAAAGGTCCAAAGTAGCCATTTTTTATCTCAATATCAAATATTTTCTGGGTAACAATTAAGTACCTTACTGCGATTGTTTATTTTTGACAATTTTAATTGAAAACAAATAGCTTCTTAGCAAAAGGGCAATTTCTCAAGCAAGGATTTTCCTAGGACTGTCAGTGTGGTCTGAGTGAGGAGGGGAAAACAGAAAATTAGCTGTTATTGGCAGAGCGGTTTGGAACCCTTATTGGTCTATTAACTAATTTACCGCATGGTGATGTCACCATGGAAGGCTAAAACTCCACCCCACCAAAACAGGCTGGAATTTCAGGCGGTCTTTCCAAACAGCTCTTACACTAAAAGGGCATCCACATTTTCACAATTTGACAGTATTATTCCAACCTCAGTGTGGAAATGCATATAAAACACAGGAAAATCATGTTAACTGCACTGGGCCTTTTAAACGTAAGTTGTAGTTCAGTCATGTCACTCTTAAAAAGAAAAGAACGTCAGGAAGAAGTTGCAAATCTCGTGAGAGCGTTTGTTCCGAAAATACTCTGTTTCAGTTGTGAAGTTTATGGGCATGTTGCAGCAGTGTGTAGGAGGGAGATGCCTATCTGTGAGAAGTGTGCAGGAGGATATGAGATGAAGGAATGTGTAGTATCGGTGAAGAAAGTTATGTTAGTTGTGGGGGTGCCCATGGGGCTGGAGATCAGAGGTGTCCGGTGAAAGAAAGGCAGATTGAGGTTGCCAGGGTTGGAGTAGTACAGAAAGTGTTGCATGCCAAAGCAGTGAAGAGTTGGGTACAGGGTGAGGGATCCTGATAGGATTCCTGTGAGTAGGCAGAGACCAAGAGAGAGTGATGGGAAGAATATGTGCTTCAGTAAGGTGGGCTTTTTAGCATTTATAGCCATTGTTGTCAATTGTACTGCGGAAATAGATCAGAAGTAACAGAAAATAAGGTTGTGGTGGCAGTGGCCGAGGATTTACTGCAGAACAGTTGCACGGGGTGTTGAGTGGTAGTGTTGCGTACTCGTTGGTCTGGAGTATGACTAGATAGGGTTAAATAGTGGTATGGGGTGTTTTTTTATATATATTTTTTAGAGGGCTAATAGTTGGGAGGGCAATTTTCTTTTCCCCCAATGTTGTATTACCGTATCAAATAATTGAATATAGGTAGGCTGTGAATGGCCTCACACCAGTACAGTAGGTGGCGGTGTATGCACCTAAAGTTGGATGCGATCCGCCAACCAAATCCCGAAGAAGAAATTCTAAGGAACCCTCGGACTTCACGCCACTTTAGACCGCGGAAGACTCAATAATTTATAGATGTGCAGCTTGTGCCAAACACTTAGCAGACTATTCCGATTGGAATGACAACACGTGGAAACCATACAATTAAAATGAACTACAGCATTTGGAATAAACGGAATCTGCGATATGAATGCACCCCTGACCTATTCTTCGGGCCGGGTGGCATTACATTTAGCGGGCTAGTTTTTGATAATCCAACAGGGCCCATGTCTCAGGTTGTCCTCATGGACTTGTAGTTACTGCCGTCATGTGGCCTGAACTTGTATGGCAACTGACACCATAGTTTTAAAACCTCAATTTGAGATGGATTGCAAATATGTATAAAAGTATTATGAAAACAGCTGTCATAAACTACTACAATAGCTCTAGAACTTGCATTTACATTGTATATGCCTAATATAATTACCATGTTACTACACTTCCTAGTGGGACTGATGCCTGAACCCAGTTAGCAGTTGTGGTATTTTCAATGTTTTACTTAGTACTTCACTTTGTGATATGGCACTTCAGTCAGATTAAATCAAATAATTAGACAATTAATATGGAAAACATTTATGTATTCAAAAAATATTTCACTTGTAAATGTAATAATCAATAGCAGTACGACAAACACATTTGGTATACATCCCACCCCTACAAGTCCTCTAAGAGTGATGAAGTCTAGGGTTTAGTTCTCAACATTTGACCCAAATATCAATTCACTCTTTTTTGTATGGCTCAAATGACTCAACCATGCTCTCCCATGATTACTGCATTAGTGCATTTCCTAATTATCAATGTCAGTCCTTACCCATAGTTTCATTACAGTAAAACGTACTACTAACAATACTCTTAGCTTCTCTACTGATTAACAAATCACATATTCTAATGTGGTAAGGAGTGAACACTGAACCTGGCCTAAGGCTGTAGTATCTCACATTACACTTGCTACATCTAACATTTGGTAGAACCTGATAATTTGGCAGTACTGTGAATATATACTGTCTGACATGATTGACTAACATTAGTAGTAGTAGTGTGTACTAACAGTAATGTGTCTATAAACCAACAGTGCATGAAACAACAATTTTAACCAGTCAAGAAGCCTAAGTAAATTCACCAGTAGTGGTGCAACTCCTATAGAAAACACTAATTAGTAAATGATCGTCACAGTTCAATCGTGATTAAGTCTTTACATACCCTGTCCAGCTACCAATCTTGAGTGCAATGGAAACGTATGCATCAATACAAAACATTTTTGTAACATTGTTGCAACAACAACAGCCTTTCAGTCAACATTATTATAAAAAAATGACAGAGCTATTCCTGAAGTATAGACATGCATTTATACTACATGATTTTTGCTAATTCAATTTGGAGAATTTAGGCATTATAGTCAAAGGAAATAGCGCTGCCATTTGGACCCAAACTTGATCATCCATTGAGAACTTAAACAAAAAGATGTAAACAAAAGTGATTACAATAACCCAATCAAAATAATAATATTCAAATAATGAAAAGCACTGCATTCGAAGACGTACAAAAATTATGTTTCCCAGGCCAATACTAAAACAATAAAAAAGTCGAGGCAAAGTAGCATCTGTTATTGATCAAGTGGAAATCAATGATAATCCAATTACTCTTTCCTTCCAATTTCAAACCCATGTTAAGAGTTAACACCGCTTGGGTAGTACAACTGCTTTACCACAGATGCTATAGTACAGACAGCCACGTGAAGAATGGAAGATCAATGAGATTTATGTGTTCGAATACTTGTTGTAGACACAGCTACTTGTCTACAACAAGTAGCTGTGTGGGATTGAGACAACATATCCCTCCACACTTCCAAGCATATTGCCATTAGAATCTGTTTAAATTCTATTTAGAAATTCCAAACAGCACCCTCTCTTCATGAAAGGCAGCTTCTACCCAATTGCACCTCATTTACCGACTTGAAGTAGCAAGATTACCTTTCATTGTAGGCCAACTATAAATTCAGTAGGTGCAAACTGTAGAAAAGTACATACACTACCAGTCAAAAGTTTGGACACACTTACTCATTCAAGGGTTTTTCTTTATTTTTTACACTTTCTTACATTGTAGAATAATAATGAAGACATCAAAACTATGAAATAACCCATATGGAATAATGTAGTAACCCAAAAAGTGTTAAACAAATTAAAATATTTTATATTTGAGATTCTTGAAATATCAAGGCAAAGGGTGGCTAACAGCTTTGCACACTCTTGGCATTCTCTCAACCAGCTTCATGAGGTAGTCACCTGGAATGCATTTCAATTAACAGGTGTGCCTTCTTAAAAGTTAATTTGTGGAATTTATTTCCTTAATGCTTTTGAGTCAATCAGTTGTGTTGTGACAAGGTAGGGGTGGTATCTAGAAGATGGCCCTATTTGGTAAAAGACCAAAGTCCATATTATGGCAAGAACAGCTCAAATAAGCAAAGCGAAACGACAGTCCATCATTACTTTAAGACATGGTCAGTCAATCCGGAAAATCTCAAGAACTTTGAAGTTTTCTTCAAGTGCAGTCGCAAAAACCATCAAGCGCTATGATGAAACTGGCTCTCATGAGGAAAGGAAAACCCAGAGTTACCTCTGCTGCAGAGGATATGTTCAGTAGAGTTAACTGCACCTCAGATTGCAGCCCAAATAAATGCTTCAGAGTTCAAGTAACAGACCCATCTCAACAGCAACTGTTCAGAGGAGACTGCGTGAATCAGGCCATCATGGTCGAATTGCTGCAAAGAAACCATTACTAAATGACACCAATAAGAAGAAGAGACTTGCTTAGGCCAAGAAACACGAGCAATGGACATTAGACCGATGGAAATCTGTCCTTTGGTCTTGAGATTCTTGGTTCCAACTGCTGTGTCTTTGTGAGACGAAGAGTAGGTGAACGGATGATCCCTGCATATGTGGTTCCCACCGTGAAGCATGGAGGAGGTGGTGTGATGGTGCTTTGCTGGTGACACTGTCTGTGATTTATTTAGAATTCAAGGACACTTAACCAGCATGGCTACCACAGCATTCTGCAGCGACACGCCATCCCATCTGGTTTGCGCTTAGTGGGACTATCATTTGTTTTTCAACAGGACAATGACCCAAAACACACCTCCAGGCTGTGTAAGGGCTATTTGACCAAGAAGGAGAGTGATGGAGTGCTGCATCAGATGACCTGGTCTCCACAATCACCCGACCTCAACCCAATTGAGATTGTTTGGGATGAGTTGGACAACAGAGTGAAGGAAAAGCAGCCAACAAGTGCTCAGCATATGTGGGAACTCCTTCAAGACTGTTGGAAAAGCATTCCACATGAAGCTGGTTGAGAGAATGCCAAGAGTGCGCAAAACTGTCATCAAAAAAAAGGGTGGCTACTTTGAAGAATATAAAATATAAAATACTTTTTTGGTTACTACCTGATTCCATATGTGTTATTTCATAGTTTTGATGTCTTCACTATTATTCTACAATGTAGAAAATAGTAAAAATAAAGAAAAATCCTTGAATGAGTAGGTGTGTCAACTTTTGACTGGTACTGTAAATAAAGAACAGAGG